TACACAAAACAGTGTTAACTTATTTTCTAAATATATCCACTTTTTATTATCAGTTTTTATAAAACAAAAACAAAAAACAATTATCCAAATAACTTTTCTCTCATAAACTGTTTTCAAAAAACAGAAAAATAATTTTTGAAATACAAATCTTAACTTAACGACAAAAGAACCTTCCTTCAAGCAAAATTAGGAAATGGACTCTTCCTACGGTCAGAAAGGAATCATATTCTAAGGAAATGTTCCGATAGGAAAAGGGACAAATGTGAAAAGAATAAGAAGATGAGAGAAACTTTCTGACCAAATTTATATGTACTATTTAAATGTAGTGAGATTTCATTCCTTATTTTCTACAATTTAGATTTTTTTTGTAATTTTAGTATTAAGTGGCTTCTTCTTATTGATCTCTTTTAATTTGATTTCTTTTTAATAAAGATAACCCTTTACCTTTATCAATTCTCTTTCAAACTTCTCTTTACATCTATATTATCTATATTATATAACAATCAATCTATACTATATATTATAGGAATTAATTTAATAGAGCGTGCTCAGGAAGTCTTCCCTCCTCAAATATTAATTTCTCATAATTTTGGATTAATTAATAAAAATACATTGATCTATCACCTTCTAAAACTACTATATATTTGAAATTTTTTTTGTCATTTTTGTTAACTAATTCACATTTATTTCTTTAATAAATTAATTTACCCTGTAATTGTCCAATAATAGGATGGGAGCGGTGATAAAGGTGGGACGGTAATAAGGAGTAGTGGTAAGATGGTGGTGGGAAATGATTGAAAATATCATGCACTGCACTGGGGACACTGTTATTTACTATTAAAAAGTTGTTAATTTTTAAATTTTTTAAACTTATATAGTAAAATATTCAAATAACCGATTTCTAATAATTAAGATAAGGATTTTGCTAAGTAGGTTATTTTGATTTATGTTTAAATGTATCATTGTTCAATGAAAGCACAACTTTTAATTATGTATTTCAATGTAAATATGTGATTGTAAAATATGTTCTCAAAAGATTTTGCTAAAAGCGTATTTTGCAAATATAATTTCAAATTACAATTTTACATAAATGAAGATAAATTAAAAATAATTTTAAATAATAGTAGAGTAAATAAATTTTTTTTAAAAAGTACTATAATTTAGTAATTAATCAAAATCTATATAATAAGATAGCTCACAAGTTAAATTTTATCCCCTACAAATTTTTTTCCTAAAAAAATACCACATCATTTATTTTTATCATATGCCAATTATTTTAATATTTTATTAATTTATACTTTCACATAATTTTTATTTAAATATTATCCCTACCCAATAATATAGAAAATTTTGTCGAATTACGTATTTTGAAAAAAAAATATAGATATTTTTTAAGAAAATAATACATAAATATAGATTTTAAATGATGTAATCAAAGAAATGAAAGAAAAAAATTATTATTTAATATAATGGGAAAATTTATTTTAGGCACTCAAATTTTATATTTCATCATGTCTTTAAGTACGAGTTATGACTAGTTATCTCTTATGCGGATTCGGATCCCCTCCATTATCCCTTTCCTTCGATCTCCATCAATACAATGCTAGATGAGTGACATATGTAAAATTCTGAATTTCAATGAACACAATTTTTTTCTCATTTATTTTATTATTGTTAGAGTGTTAATCATCATTAAAGAATTTTTTCACGAGAAAAAATTTTGTTCGTTGAAATTCAAAATTTTACACATGTCACTCATCTAACACTATATTAAAGCAAATTGAAATGAAAAGGATAATATTATTACTTCTAGTGGGTATTTAGAACCAGGAATTTGGTGGGGATAATATTATTACTTTGGGGGGGGGGGGGGGGGGGACGGGAGGTGGTGGGAGAATTTATTCGTCAAAAAATATTCTCAATAAAAGCGTTGTTCTATTTGATGGTATGTGTAGCATCAAAAAATTAATAAAATATTATCTATAATTCTAGCTTAAATCTAATTAAATGAGTTATTAAAATAAAATTGGGTTAAATTTAAATTTTATAATTCTAAATAGTACAAACTCAAACGTAAATCTCATAATTTTTATAAATACGATGACACACTTTATAAAAATCCTATAATGGTATTTAAGTAAAATACTCTAGTGTATATATATGATAACTACTTTCAAGTAAAGGCGTCAACATATGATATGGGCATGTTACGAAATTAAAAAATTTGTGCCTTTTTTAAGTCACACTTTTTATAAATGATTGGATCTAAGACTATACGATTAATAAACGAATTAGGTAATGAGTAAGTCAATTAAAAAAATGTACGATACGATTCATTTATATACTAGTTATACATGATCATATATGATATAATACGATTCGTTAAACACAAATTAGTAAACGTATAAAATAAGATTTAATTTTTTTTTAAACTGACCCGCCAAACCTATTCACCTAACATGATTGACATCCTTATTCTTAAGTTTCATTTTCATAAGAAGAAGAAAGAAGAAAACAAGAAGAACGAAACAAGAAGAAAAGTTTGCCCCTGTCCAACTCCAATTGAAGTTCTGCAAATCGGTATTGGACGGTAAGAATACATCTTTAATGTCTTTCCTTAAAAGATCTTTCAAATCATCCTCAAATGAATCGTCATCAAAAAAGGGTAAGAAAAATCTACTAAACTCATCATCACATGGACCCATCCCCCATGGCAATTGGAGGCAAAGACCCACCCCCAAAAAAAAAAAGGTTGTTATCGTAGTAGCCGACAAAACAACAATCATCATGAGAAATCAACAAAAGAATGGCACACTAAATTCCTAGTCAATCAAGTCCCAAAACAGAACTTTTGTATAAGGGAGAACAGTAAATGTGTATTGTAGCCTGTGTGAGTTCGTATTCATTTATGTATAATGGCAAGGTTATTGGTGAAATAGAAATAACAAGACGAGTTTAGATTATCAACTTTGTGTTGGTGGGATGAAGTCGGTGGTCGTGGGCCGATGGTCGAGGAAGGTCACCACAAATGGTAGGGGGATGGGCTAAGCTACCAGTCGAAGGACATTCAGGGAAATGAGTGGATAGGGTTCTGCCAACTGAAGTATGAATGCATTGTTGGGGTTGCTGTGGGAGTTAACAATGAGAGTTAACTTCCGTTAATTTTTCACGGCAGAGATAACGACAACGAGGGTGATTGAGATAATGTGTGAAAATTGAAGGGACAAATTGTTTGAATTGAAACTATGAGGAGCTTTTGATAAAAAAAAAAAACTATGAGGAGCTAATTGTAATATCACACAACGTAAATGGGTCATTTTGTAATTAATCCTTTTGTTTATGGTTATGGGCTACCTGTGTGATTGTGATCGCCTTGTCCTGTAGCCGATTTGACTTGATATCTATATATTGTTCAAGTATTTAAGCACTTAACCCAATCTAATTTAGAATTTGTTAATTCAATTTTAGGCTATATATATGTCTAATGTTATAGTTAGTAAGTTGAATTATCATAAAAATATAATAACGGTTAAGATTGATCTAATTTTAATCTATTTTAATTCAATTGTACAAAATTTATCCCAATTTTTTTTTCTTACTCAGAAACATCATCTTCTATGTATGATCTGTAATGTTAAACAATTCAACCATTATACTTTTCAAACAACCCCGTTAATCCGTAATTGTCTCTCTTATTTTCTCTTTAAACTGCATAATTTTTAAAAAATTAAATTATTATTTAAATATAAGAAATTCTCAATCAATGCGCAATATTTTTGAGTATTGCATAGTGTGTCTAGACATGTGAGTATTACTAATTATGTATATTATGTTAGTTAAAATATATTATAGTTACTTTCTTAGTGTTTATATTAGGTTTGATAATTTTGCACACGACTTTGTAACATTGAAATGGAATTGATGCTAATAGACTTAGATTTAGCCTTAGTAGGTTTCGTATGTTAAATTCGGAAACCCACTAAATTTGACTTTTTTGATCCGACATAAAAATAATTTGTACAAAATATTACCACAATTTATAAGTCAAAGTACATGATACAAATTATATAGTTTGAAAATACAGCACCACACAAATATCATCCATTTAACATCCTTGTCTACATGGACAATTTTATTTTTGAATCAAAATAAAAAATCTACATGAACAATCGAAAGAGTCCAAAAAATATACTATTAGACTACGATTGGTTCCTAATCTTACATGGTCAAAAAGGAACCCAATGGACAAGGAATCCCTCACCAACGCCGAAAAAGCAAAAGATATCCATCCGTACATAACTGCATTGACCCCCTTTTCCCCCTCCCCCCACCATTACTCTCAAACCCCACACCAAATCCACGTTATTGACGTTACCAGCCACCACTCTCTCTCTCTCTCGCTCTTCCTCTCACTTTCCGGGAAGTAGCTTATTAAATGGCACCAATAACATTTTGAATCTACTTTTTTTTTTAAAAAAAAAATTACTTTATTTAAAAAACTAAAATTACATTATATATATCCTTAATAACATACAAATATATCAATATGCTCTATTTTAATCAAACGAAATATAAAATATAATTTTAGACCACATTCTTATTTTTTTTAAATCTGATTTCACATGTAATTTTTTAAAATATAAATTAAAATTTTTCATAATTTTGTTTTCAAGATACAAAAGTGTTGTTCACGTACTAGATATAAAAAACCTTCCCGTTACTTTACCTTTCCTAAACCTTACATAGGGCAACACCCCGGATTCTTCCCCTCCTCAAACCGATCTCTTCCCTGCTTCTGTTGCATTGTCTTCTTTACCCTTCAACCGAATCATTTGACCTAATCACTGTTCGAGTCTTAGTCTTGAAGTCTGTTCATTTCCGTCATTTAACACCACCCACTCTCTATATGAAAACAAAGCACCAAAAACCAAAGCCACTCCGGAAGTCGTCAGTTTTGTTGTGGAGGGGGGGTAAGTGTGGTGTGGCTCTTTGCTGATTCAATGGAGAGAGAGAACTACAACCGTGGCCGTGGTGGTGCTCGCGGCCGTGGTGATCGCGGTGGTGGTCGTAATAGTGGTGGCAGAGGTGGGAATTACCCACATCCACAGTACCAGCAGCAGGATCAGTATCAAGGTGGTGGTGATCGTGGTGGTGGTGGTCGTAATCGTGGTGGTGGTCGTAATCGTGGCGGCGGCGGTAGGGTTGGGAATTATCCAGATCAACAGTATCAGCAGGAGGGACAGTATCATGGTGGTGGAAGAGGAAGAGGTTGGGGTAGGGGTCCCACCCAGACTGGTGGGGAACAGTGGGGTATTAGGCCAAGTCACACAGATCTGGGTGGTGGAGCTTACAGGCCACCAGCCCCACCACAAGGGAGTGTTCACGGTGTGGGGCCCACGATGGAGGAGTCAACTGAAGGATATGGCAGAGGTGGGTATGGTGGAGCAGCAGGTAGAGGAAGAGGAGTCTCGAGTGTGAGGCCTTCGACTCCCACTTTTGTGCCTGGTCAATCTCAATCTCAGTCTCAAGATCGGTCTCTCTCTGATAAGGTTCCTGAACAAACTCTTCCTGGTAGATCTCTTACCCTTAATCTTAGTTTACATTTTTTGTCAGTGTGTATTTAAGCGCTTCTGTGTGATTTACTCTGTTTGTTCTGAAGAGCTAGTGTGGTTGGTTGGGAGGTATAAATATTGGGTATCATGGTGTTATGGTATGATACAGATACAAGATTGTTGTAAAAACGGGCTGTGTTGATTGACTGAGTTAATTCATCTTTACGAGATGATTGATTTTCTGTTCAGTTTTTTATATAAGTTTTGTTGATCTGTTTGTGTGACTTTTTGAAGTTATTATTGAAGATATTGTGTGTTGTCTATGTGTTTTTGAAATTGCAGTATGTTTCCATGTGTATTTTGATGATATTTGTGCAAGGATGACGTGATCTATGAAGTTTCAAGTTTATTTATCACAATTTTAGTTCTATCTAAGATGTATTTACTTGGTTGGAGTACTGGGAGAGGGTATTTGTTTTCTCTGGCATGAAATTTAGTACCTGTTAAAAAATAAAGAGGAGAAGTGTCACTGACGATCCAAGCATTGCAATTGTTTTTGGGGATAGTCGTCACAGTTTTTGGAATATTAGGGGAAGTATTGATTATGCTGGAAATGATTGCAGTACATGGAAAGTAAAAAAGATTTCGAGTGTGAGTGTCACTATTAAATTTGTTGTCCATATCCAAATAAACTTTGACCGGGTAAATTCTATACATGTGCATTGAGTGTTTTTTTGTGATTGTGATTGTGATTGATGGCTTGTTGGCTGTTATGATTAAGCAGCTTTGGTCATCAAGATTCCTTCTTTCCTTGGTACACTAAGTTGCTTGTTTTATGTTAAAATCCATTCCACACGTGGGAAGTTTTAACAGTCCAAGTTAAAGTTAAATTGGTTGCTGCGTAGATTTAGTTACCATGATATATTTAGAGTTAGACCAAGGAAAGGGGGGAATCGCAAATGTTTTGTGGTAGGGTGTTGATTGGGTTAAATTTTGCACGTGTTAGAGCCCGATTGAAGACATTTTTTTTTTTTAGTACATTTTGGTGTTGTATTTGATGAGTTAATTAGGAATCTAAAAAGCACGAATATGGATACGGGACACGGATACGGCACAACACCGACAAGTCGATATGAAATTTTTCAAAAAAAATAAAATACGGACATGTTGGCAATAAGTTAAATATATATATATATATATATATATATATATATATATATATATATATAATCATGTGAGAAATTAAAAATATTATCATAATAATCTTTTAATCCATTATTTTTCTAATTCTAAAAATTTACATTATGATATCACTATATAAAAAATATATAATATAAGATATATTGATACACATTCAACATTAACATCCATGATCCAACAATCAATGACTATTATAACGTTTTTTTTTAAAAATATTTCACATCGTAACACTAATCTTCATTAATTTTCAATAGCCCTAATTTTGTAGTCCCAATTTTGCTCACATTACTTTCGTATTTAAAATTTAAATCCATTTGTATATAATTTCATATTTGTATTCAAAATTATGTTATATTTATGTCTTATGTTTAATGTAAGAGCAATGCTATTATATATAAATTGTTGCCCAAATTTTGTTTCCCAAATCAATGGAGGTGGTTGGATTAGTGGGGTCCACTAACTCTTCCAAAATTCAATGCATGAGATTTTGACACATTACTTCGATACAAAATTTGTACTAACAAATGTGTGCTGCACAACTTTATCCTTAATGTAATGATTATAACTTTTTTTACATTATGATTGTAACTCATATCCCTTTAAAATTATAAAAATAGCTCTTAATTATAAAATTTTCTGAAAAATTCTCAAAAATTTGAAAATAAATCTCAAAACGTGTCCTTCCCCTAACGTGTCTTGAGCATATTAGCCGCATGTTCCCAACATGTCCTGAGTTTGTCGGTTGTGTGTCCCCAACGTGTCCTGAAAAAAAATTAACAAAAAAACAATCGAACATTCATTCTAACGTGTCCGACAGGTGTTCAAGTGAGTCTGTGTCCCAACTGTGTCCGACACCCACACTCTGTCCAAAATGAAGTGTCCATGCTTCTTAGCTAGGAACATTTCACTTTTTTTTAATTAAGTAGCTTGGATTGTTAATAATTCTCTCTCTTTTTTTTGTTTTTTGTACTCTTAGTTGCTTAGACAACATGTTGCCGTGAAAAATTCATGTCATACTTTTTTGACTTGAGTGGTCTTAATTTAAATTAATATGGATGGTTATTAAAGGGTCGTTTGGTAACGTTTTTGTTTTCAAGTTTTCAAAAAAAATAAAAATAGAGAAATTTTTGTTTTATTTTGTGGTAAATATTAAAAACAAAAAATATGCTTGGGAGTCATTTGTGTTTACTAAATTATGAAAATAAAAACTGAAACATGCTTGGTAACCACTTCACAAAAAACAAGTTATATCTTTAACTAACACTCACACAACTTGTAATTTGTTCATTACCCATTTCCATCTACAACAAATTCCAAATATATCCAAAACATGAATTTCAACACACTAACCATTCACACAATTCTATATAACATACAACCGTTCTATATAACGAATATATTCAACACACACTACCCACAATATACAACACACACTCAGCACATAGAACATACGGACACACACTAGCACACAAACAGAACACACGTGCATACAAAACACACGCTTACACACTTAATATAGAGAACACAGAATAAAATTTTTTTAAGGGAAAATGTAAAAAAAAGTGGGGATAGGTCTATGATGGATCTACACACAATACACATTCACACACACTCACATACAAATACACTAAAATCCACAGATTTGACCTATTCAATGCCTATATAAGCAAATATATACAAATCTATGTATATAGATTATTTACACTTACCTTCATAACGAGAGAGAGAGAGATTGATGGAGATTCTAAGAAGCGAGGATGACTTCTTTCTATCAGGAGAGAGATCGATCGATATTCTGGGTTCAAAGCATCGAGGAGCAAAGCTTCATCGTCTTCTTCGGGTGCGTTTGTTCTTCGGCTTCTTCTTCTTCTAGAACAGAGAGAGATGTGAGGAGTGTGAGACGATGGTGTGTGAGAAAGACAAAAAAGGCTCACTATTTATGCCTCCATAAAAAATAACCCTCTTTTGTTGTTAACAGGGATCGAAGTGGAGACCTCATTAAAAAAATTTGAGGCAGCCACTGCGTGTTTCTGTTTTGGGTTGTTTCCTGAAACTTGATTTTTTGTTCCCATTTTTTTAGTTTGTTTTCAAGACAACTTAGATAAAACAAAAAAAAGAAACAAATACCAAAAACGTTTTTGTTGGTTTTTTTTGATAAAAATTGAAATAAAAACAAAAAAGGTCAAACAAACGCACCCTAAATTTTTCTTTGCATGAATTTTGTTCATAGTTATAATGTATCTATTTAGGACTATAGGCATGTGAGAAGGTTTGTTTCTTTTTCTTTTCTGCTATTTTTTGAATTACTGGTCCGTGGATTCAAAGGAGTTGATTGAATTTTAAGATTTTTGACTAGTTAAAAAATTAATCTACTTGTGTTGCAACGTTGACAACTGTACCTATATGTGATAGAAATGATTCTGAGGGTGTGGAAGGATATAATGGGAAAAGTAATAGCTTTATAGATGAGTGGTCTCTTTTGAATTGGTGGCATGTTCGGAATTGAAATATACCATTGTAGCCATAGTTGTGGTTATAATATGGGTACTTGGGGGAGCTTTTTGATGTTTATGAACATTTCAGTTGTCCTAAGTAACTGTGATTACAACAAAATCAAAACGCCTGTTTATTTTTTTTCAAACTTTGGTTGGTTTCAACCTCTTCTAGTAACATGAAAGCACTGGTGTATGCCTTAACTACAATTTACGTGTGTAATTGTAGCATTGATTGTGGGTTTTTGTTGTTCTCAGATTGCCTTTGCTCCATATGCTCTTTTTGTTTGATAGAACTCATGCATTTAGTGTTTGATCAGATCAAATTGCACTAATCCCAATTACTAAATATCTCATCAATTGGATTATAGAAATCATTTATTGATAGAAACACAAAAATTTGGCTAATTGTTGGTATGTTTTTTTTTTTTTTGTCTTATATGGATCCTGTTATTCCAGATATCGAGTTATTAGAAATTTCAGAACAGAAGTCTCGATTGAGTTTTGTGGAAAGTACAGAGAACAGAGTTCTGCCCATAAAACGGCCTGACAAAGGGGGCACGGTTGCTGTCAGGTCGGTAAGGCTATTTGCCAACCATTTTCCAGTCAGATTCAATCCAGAGAGCACCATAATGCACTATGATGTTGATATTAAACCAGATATGTCTCTCAGTAGTCGCTCTTCAAGAAAACCAATTCCGAAATCTGATCTGCGTTTGATCAGGGACAAGCTATTCTCTGATGATCCCACCCGATTTCCTTTGCAAATGACTGCATATGATGGTGAGAAGAACATCTTCAGTGCAGTGTCACTGCCCACTGGGCATTTCAAGGTGGAATTGTCTGATGGTGATGACACGAAGAGTCGCTCGTATATATTTACTATTAAATTAGTAAATGAGCTCAAGTTTTGCAAACTAAAAGAGTACTTAAGTGGAAATCTCCTTTATATCCCTCGTGATATATTACAAGGGATGGATTTGGTAATGAAGGAGAATCCATCTAGGCATAGGATCTCTGTTGGTCGGAGCTTTTATTCTAGAGAATTCAGGGTGGAAGATGACCTTTACTATGGTCTGGCAGCTTTTAGAGGCTTTCAACAGAGTCTAAAGGCCACCTCCCAGGGTCTAGCCCTGTGCTTAGACTATTCTGTGTTGGCATTTCGCAAGCGACTGCCAGTCATGGACTTCCTTAAGGAGCATGTTAATGGTTTTCGAGAAGTAAATGATGTAAAAAGGTTAATAAGAGAAGTGACAAGTACCTTAAAAGGATTGAAAGTTACTGTAACTCACCGTGTGACCAAGCAGAAGTACACTATTGCAGGCTTGACCAATAAAAATGCACGAGATACTACATTCATTCTTGAAGATCCAGAGGGCAAGCATCAACCTAGGGAAATTGGCATTGTCGAATATTTCAGGGAGAAATATAACAAGGAAGTTATCTATAAGGATATACCCTGTTTAAATCTAGGAAAAAGTAATAAGATAAATTATGTACCTATGGAATTCTGTGTTTTGGTTGAGGGGCAGAGATACCCGAAGGAGCAGCTGGATAGAGACACTGGCCTGTTCTTGAAGGATATATCACTGGCTCCACCGAAGGAAAGAAAGAACAACATCTGTGAGATGGTTCGAGCTGGGGATGGACCTTGTGGGTATGTATTTGTAATTAATATCTCTATTTATTTGTATAATATATTGTGTAGTGTATAAACTGTTGTTTCTCTATAAACATTTTTGCATAATTTTTCTCTAAGCCTCTTTCTTTTTGTTGCATGATAAAAGGCATTTCAGTGTTTCTTGAGCCTCTACTTTCTTGTTGCATAATTTAACTTAAAGCTGCTTTTTTATTTTTTGGTGGCATGATTTAGATTGTAATATTTTCAATATTCTTTCTTAAAATGATGATTCTCAGAGTTTGCATGAAAAGTCTGCTTGGTTGGGAAAACCTTGTGGTTGGCAGGTGGTTGGTTTTTTCTAGTTATGGATGCGACCAGGAGTGTGTTAAACCTGAATTCTCAAACATTTTTGTGGTGCATTTGACTTGGAATTATAATCTTCAAGTCGAGCCATTTTGGGAAAACAAACTCCATTTTTGAAGTATTTCTCGATAGCCCACAACGCAAAGCCCTCAACTACTTCATGAGGATCAAATACTACTTTGTCTTGTGCAATTTCTTGGTGGCTCAGATTACTGATACTCCACTATTCTCATGACATGGCATTATGTAAAATGTTGGAGAAATTGATGTTAATATTGACTATTTGTCTGATGAACCTGTACCCCCAGAACGGAGATTCATTTTATTTTTAGGACTGTCAATAGAATATCATTATTAAGGACCTTCTCGTAATAGTATGCTTGATTCAATAATTGATTAGGTTCCCAATCTCACTTGTTATAGCTTATCATGACCATTAGTATATATGGAAACCTGAGTTTATTGCATTACAACCACCAGCTTGGAAGTACTTGAACTTTGTTTTCCATTTGATGAAATTTGCTGTGTGAATTGTGTGGTTGCAAGTACTGTCTTCATACTGAATCTTTGGTTTGGTTACGTATGTTGCTTCTATTGATATGGGATATGTAAATTGCTTTATTTGGTCTCTGCAGAGAGGTCGCTCGAAATTTTGATATTGCAGTTGAGAGCAACATGACAAGGGTGTTAAGTCGTGTCATCCAGCCACCTGATTTGAAGCTAGGTACTCCCAGTGGCAAGTTGAATATGGTAAAAGTTGACAGGGAGAAGTGTCATTGGAATCTTCTTGGGAAATCTATGGTTGAAGGCATACCGGTCGAGCGATGGGCCTTAGTAGATTTCAGTTCATTTGATCGTTATAAACTGAATGTTGAGAATTTCATTTACAATCTGATAAATAGATTCAGAAATCTAGGGATCCGCATGGAGGAGCCTGTTGCGCGTCGTTTAACCAGCATGCGTGAATTCTCTAGTGTCAATGGGCTTCAAGAACTTCTTGAAGGTGTAGTTAAGGAGGCTAGTGGGAAATGTAAGGGCCGATTGCAAATTGTTGTTTGTGTGATGACTGCTAAGCATCCCGGCTACAAGCATCTTAAATGGGTTTCTGAGACCCAGGTTGGAATAGTTACTCAATGTTGCTTGGCAAGTGAAGCAAACAAAGGTAAGGACCAGTATCTTGCAAACCTTGCTCTCAAGATTAATGCCAAGCTTGGGGTAGCAATGTAGAACTTATCGAACGGCTCCCTCGATTTGAGGGTGAAGAACCTGTTATGTTTGTTGGGGCTGATGTCAACCACCCTGGTGCATTGAATTCAACATGCCCATCAATAGCAGCAGTGGTTGCGACAATGAATTGGCCTGCTGCCAATCGCTATGCTGCTCGGGTTTGCCCCCAAAACCATCGGAAGGAGAAGATTCTTAATTTTGGGACCATGTGTTTGGATCTAGTCAACACTTATGCTCAGCTTAACCAAATGAAGCCAAAGAAAATTGTGGTTTTCCGTGATGGTGTAAGTGAAGGCCAGTTTGATATGGTTCTCAATGAAGAGTTACTTGATCTGAAGAGGGCCATATATGAGGAGCATTACTGCCCAACTATTACTCTTGTTGTTGCCCAGAAGCGACACCAGACCCGCCTGTTTCTTGAGAATGAGAGGGATGGAGGTGCATCTAGAAATGTGCCTCCAGGAACAGTTGTGGATACAACAATTGTTCATCCCTTCGAGTTTGATTTTTATCTTTGCAGCCATTATGGAAGCCTTGGGACAAGCAAGCCTACGCACTACTATGTCCTCTGGGATGAGCACAACTTTACATCTGATCAGTTACAGAGGCTGATATATAACTTGTGCTTCACCTATGCTCGATGCACCAAGCCTGTCTCGCTTGTGCCTCCAGTGTATTATGCTGACCTTGTTGCGTACAGGGGACGTATGTTTCAAGAGGTGGTGATGGAGTTCACATCTCCTCCTTCAGTATCATCTTCATCTTCTCGTGCATCATCATCTTCTTCGTCTACTGCTTCACTTAACGAGAGGTTCTACAAACTGCACCCGGACCTCCAGAATGTCATGTTTTTTGTTTGAGCAGCCAACATGGCTGTCTATATCTCCTCCCCTATAACCCAGTAGCGAAGGAGATTATACCATTCACTGTTGGAAATGCCCAAACGCAAATCAAATCTCCTTTCCTAAGCACTAGTTAAGGAGTTTGTGCGTGAATCTAATGGGGTTTCATGTGAACACTGTGCATGAATCTAACTGGGGTTCGTGTCTTTGTGCTGCCTGTTCCCATGGTTCTTAAAGCCATGTAGAACGAGAGGCTTGGTACAACCACTGTTAACTAGGCTATGAGTACTGTGTGTTTTCTGGATCTTTGTGTGTGTTTGAGGTCTTCTTTATCTTCCATGTGTGTTGAGCAGTTGTAGGATCATGATGTACTGGGTTTGATGTGTTTGTCTGAATGTGTTGCTCAAGCAATGGATAATAAACAAGGGACCTGGTCCTTGGGTTGTTTTTCAGAATAAAATTTATGTTTGTATTTTTTTGTTTTTGGAAATCATTTTTTCTTTTTTAAAAAGGTATTCATATGAAAATGCTCTGTTATGCTTGATTCCGTATGTTGTGTGTGGATTAGTTTCATTGCATGGAGTTTTACTAGTCACTGACGAACTTTGATAGTACCGGAGTGTGGCGTTGAGTTTTAAGAACATCTTAGGTTCGTCTCTAATTAGTGTTTTTCAGGTTTAACTGGTAACTATAGTTATCGGATAATAACATGTATTCGGAATTTACTCTACAAAGGTGGGCCTAGTGTGACTTGCCCAAGAAAGATTCTATGACTTCAAAAATAATGGAAAACAACCAATTCATGCAGATATTTTTAATTTTTTTCATGTAGATTATTAAATTTTTTTCATGCAAATTTTTTTTATGAATTTGTTCATGCACATTTTTTAATTTTTTTCTTTCATTTTGTTATGTTAATATGTTGTGATATATTATTGTAGGATTGATGTCTTCTTCAACTGTTTGTGGAGAAAGAGACATAAATCAATGTCTATGTCAAAATTTCATCAATTTCTAACGCATCTATTGTTGTCTGTCCTCCACAATATTGCATGATCATTTTTCACACATCACATTTCATATATAAATATTAAATATCTATATAATAAAATACAATATAATTCAAATTTTAAAAGATAAACAAAATAATTAATATGACTGTTAATATTAACACCCCAAATTTAATAGGAAAAATATGTCCTTAATGGTGTGTTTGAGATAATTTTTTAAAAATACTTTTAAAACTTATAACCTCTCATAAGTATTTTTTAAAAATAAAGTATGGTTTAGAACTGGTCCACCATCCACCACCATCACCACAACCATAACCACCTTTGTCATCGCCACCCAACAACCACCTCTGCCATTGCAACATCACCACCACCATTACTATCGTTGTCGTCATCCCACCACCACCACTGTCACCCCACCACCACAACAACCACCACCATTGATGTCGTTACCCTACCACCGTCGCCACTGTCCTACTAACTCCACTCCCACTACCCCACCACCCGCTCCACGACCATAACCATTACCACCACTATCACCACCATTATCGCTACCCCACCACCGTCGTCACCTCCACCACCCCACTATCGCCTCCACTGCCCCACCACCGATTGCTACCACAGTCGCCTATCGTTATCACCTATTATTATCGTCATCTCATTCTTATATTTATTATCATTACCACTTATTACAATTGTCATATCATTCTTATATTTATTACCACTACTACCATCATCTCACTATAACATCGCCCACTTTCAACACCTACCACTATTTGTCGTCCACCATTGCCACCAACAACTGTCACCTATCACCACCACCGTCGTCACCCCACCACCACCACTGACAACCACCATCATCGTCGCCCACCACCACCCACACCCGTCACCATCACCACGGTCACTCATGGCTACAACTACCACCATCATCACCCAAAATCCACCATCATCACCATTGTCATCCACGACTACCATTACTACCACGGTCATTCTCATCCACCACAACTATCACCTTCTTCCAGCGCCACCATTGTCGCCCACCACCTCTACCACCACTCACACTCATTATAATCAGATGCTTAAATTATGTTCTCTCTCCTCTATATTTATGATTTGATTTTGGGTAATATGTTTATTATTGATTTTTTTTTATTACTCTGCGCGTTCAAGCACGAAAAATAACTAGTTATTTGATAAAATTTATAATAATTGAATAAATTTGGTCTTAATTTGATAAATTTGAATATTAATTTGGTGTTAATTTGATATTTATATTCAGTGTTGATTTGATAAAATTTAATATTAATTGAATAAATTTAAATGTTGCTTTAATGAAATTGAATGTTCATTTGGTGTTAAATTAAATAGCTAACATTAATTTAATAAGGTTAAATGTTAAATTAATGGAATTTAATATTCTATTTAATATATTAAATTTTAATTTAATAAAATTAAATGTTAAATTAAAGAAATAATATTAATCTGATTTGATGAATGTCATATGCATACTGAAATCCAACCATGTACTAATTACCACTTCACAATTCTTCTTACACAAACAACTATATCCATACTTGTAAAAATTTGCTTAATTCAAAAACCATGTAATGAGAGAAATTGAAATTAACGTAAGAAATTTTCAATTTTTCGACAGAGTATCCTTTGAAAATATGATACCACAAAAATATCAACCTGTCTACAAAACTTACATATTTTATAATCATAACCAAACCATGTCATATGCATGTTGATTACCAAAAAAAAAAAAATCATAATATTAGAGGCCTATTTCATACTAATTAACATTCATCAAATCAAGATATTTCATACAAAGTAATATTCATCAAATCAAGATAATAAAAAATCAAATTGAAATTTCACAAACTATATTCAACACCCAATTTGAAAATAAATTACTGTACAAAATGAACACTCAATAATTCTCAACTCAACATATGCACAAACAATCTAACATTCGTAACTAAAAAAAAAAGACATTCAATTTAACACCCAATTAAAAGACACCCAAACTAAACACCAATTAAAAGACACCCAAATTAAACACCCAATTAAAAGACATTCAAATTATAAACACCAAAATTTTAAAAAGTAAAATTAAAAACACCAAAATTAAACACAAATATTCAAAACCCCAAATTAACCTAAATTCAAAAACCCAAACACAAATCACACACAGATTTGTGTGTTTGTGTGCTGTTGTGCAGTGTGTGTGTTTGTGTGCAGATGTGTGCGTGTGTGTGTGTTGTTGTGCATGTGTCTGCGTGTGTGTGTGCTCCTGTGTTTGTGTTTGGATGAGGTCTGTGTGTGTGCTGTTGTGTGTTGTCTACTGTGTGTTTGTTGCTCTGAGTGTGTCTGTTGTGTGTGTGTTTGGTGTGTGTGAGTGTTTGTGTGTTTGCAACTGTGTTTGTGACTGTGCTGTTGGTTTTTATGTGATTGTTCGTTGTGGTTTTTGTGAGGTTATAGCTGTTATATACACAACACATAATTCATAGCAATTGCATTTCATTAGCAATTACTTGTAATAGTTGGTTGCCAAAAATCAATACCGCAACTGCCTAGATTAATAGTGTTTAAGAATAATGATGTGAGGTAACTACCTGGATTTTAGGTAAGCCCAGCAGTAAGCTTCTTTTCAACCACCAATCATGCAAAAACACATGTGAGAACAATTTCAAAATTATAAATACATCAACATATCTAGACATTAGTTGAGACATGTGCCATTCACAGGAAAGTGTGAATAAAGTTAACAACTTAACACGCATCCTTATAGCGATTACACAGATACTATGTATAATCTCAGTAGAAATGAGGACAATGGCCACCTTATAGCGATTACTATAATCTCAATGGAAATGATGTCCTCACTGTAAACTCATCATCACACACGTACATTTTTAGGGGTTTTCATTTTCAGGTATTTTTCTTAGACATTTTGACTAACACTTCATGTGCAGTGTGCGTGTGAGGGTGGGTGAGCAGTGTGTGTGGGTTAGGGATGTGAGGAACGTGGGTGGGTGATGTGTACGGGTGTTGTGTTGGGGCTGGGCTGGGCTGGGCTAGTGGTGGTGTCCCCAGATTTGGTGGCGCTGATGTCTAGTGCGCAAGAGAGAGAGAAAGAGGAGGTGGTGATTGAGAGGAGGGAGAAACAGAAAGAGGGAGGGGAGGGGACAGTGTTTGCGCAGAAGAGGGATGGGGGGGGAGGTGTTTGTGCAAAAAAGGGATGAGGGGGGGTGTTTGCGCATAGGGGGATTACCAGGCAATGGCAGTAGCGGTGGCTGTAGCTGTAGCGGTGGTTGTGGCTGCGGAGAACTCGATGGCTGTGGCTATGGCAACAGACGTTTTGAAGTTGTTGTGGCTGTTGCAAAAAACCGAAGAGGTTTGAAGTGGTTGTGTCTGTCTCGTAGCCTGTTCTTCGGCATCTACCATTGCATTGAATATTTTCTCCCACTGTAGAAGCAGTTAAAAGTATTTAAAAGGAAATCAAAAAAGAAAAAAAAACACTGCATAGCACATAACTTTGTTTACTGCTATTTTTGATAAATAAAATTTTCCCACTTCTTCCTCTCTCTCACCGGACTATATTTTCCCTCTCTAGACCCACCCCACACATCCTCTGTGTGGGGGTGGATCTAGAGATTTTATCCTTCCCGCAAATAATGTTATGTAAACTAAATTTGTATATCTCCACATAGCATTACTTACTGCCCACATGCACCTTTTCTCCCTCTCTCTCTCACACACACACGAACAACACAAAACAAAACACGAACCCCCAAAGAAAGAAGAACACACCAAATATACTGCACCCACACTCCTCCCCCCCAGCCCCAACACCCCTTACCCAAATAAGATAATGTACGAGGCACCACTAGGAAAAATAGATAGTGGTGGCAGAAGCAAAATTTGGAGGCAGGATAACTGAGGTGGGAGAAGGGACGGCCCAACGTAAACGAGGTCTTAGGCAAAAATTTTACACATGGCTCT